CAGCCTCTTCCCGGCCCGGTGCCGAGGCCGCGCCGGGAGCAGAGTCCGGCTGCCTGGCGCGGACAGCGCGTGTCTGAGCTCCGCCGAGTCCGCCACCCGCGCCCCCAGGTAAGCGAGCGCCCCGGCGCGCCGCGACCGCCGCCCCGAGCAGCACCCGAGTGCCCGGCTCCAGCTCCGCCCATGCGGACATGGCGGTCCCCGGACGCTGTCGGCTCGGGCCCGTATCACACTGCCCGGGGCTGCTTCCGGCGGCCTCCGATCTGCTCTGGGTCCCCGGACGACTCCCGGAGGGAGCCGGGCAATCCCCCCCCTAAGGACCCGGTTAGGTGTCCTGGGACACGGGACGGAACCGGCCGCGGGGACTAAGGGCGAAGCCGGCCGCGTGACGCGGGAGAGCCCGGCATGCGTGGGAACAGGAGGAGCGCGACAGCGGTGTCACCCCCTCGCTGGCGAACCCGGGCTGGGGTCCCTGACATGCCAGGGCTCGGGACTGTCCAGCTGCTGGCCGGCCGCATCGATGCCTAGTTAGTTGCTGCTTAAACAGAAAGCGGCTCGCTCGGGCTGGTGCGGGGGTGGGGGTGGGGTGGGGGAGCAGCGGCATCAGAGAGGTGGGGTAAGAGTGGGAGTACCGGGAATAGGCCTGGGAAAGGACCCTCGGCGTCGGTGCCGCCACCCCAGTCTGATGCGTCCAGCCCGCAAGGGTCCAGTAGGCTCTGGAAACAGCGAGATCTTGGGCAGGGCCCCGCCCGGTGTGTTTGCGGAGAGAAAAGAGGTCAGCGTGGCTGGAGCGTGCAGAGCGGGGGACGTGGTGGGGGTCAACCTGCAGGACACGGCCTCCAGGTGATGGGGTGGGGGCTGTTAACAAGCGAGGGAGGGGCGCGTTTCGGCGGGGAGGGATTGTCTTCTTCGGTAGTATCTGCAGCAGGGGCCTGTGGATTGGGACCCCCAACTGGGAACAGGGTGGGAAAGTGAGCATGTTGAGGGTTCATTCTGACAGGAGGACGTCTGGGCTCGAGGTCATTCAGAAAGGGGGCGTCTTGGGGGGGGGGCATCCTGGCTTCTGAGCTGCTGGCTGGGAGAATGGATGGGGTCTTTTGCTGCTGGAAGACAGACACAGAGGGCCTGGAGGAAGCTCCCTTGAGATGCTGGGGATGAAGGAGGGCCCTTGACTGAGCCTGGAGTTGGTACAGGCTAGGCTGCAGCGTCCTGGGACTCCTATGGAGCTGCTCTTTTAGGAAATCCCACACGTGGACTGTTTTGAAGCCCTCAGAATCCCAGCTGGTGCTCCTTACAGGAGAGGCAGCAGCCTAACCCCACACGTGGGCCCTATGGGACCTACCCGCTCCCTCAGGCCCAGTGGAGGGGTTGGTGGGAGCAGGTTGTGTCTTGGTAGGGAGGGGAAGAGCTAGGAAGCTTGGTCATCTTCAAACAGACCTGTGGGCCCTGGCAAACCTTGCCCCTTGCCCTTCTGTGAATTGGGGTGGGTAGCTTGGAGAGTGATGCTTGGATCAGAGGAAGCATGGCTGGGGGGCTCCCATGTGAACGGGGTGACAGTTGGGAGATGGTCTCAGGCAGAGGCAGCTGGTGAGTCTCCATTCCCCCTCCTGAAAAGTGGGTGCAATGCAGGCCCAACTCCCTTTAGTGAGCCAGGTTCCATGGGAAGCTTTTGGCTGGCACTCCTGCTGGGATGACTGTGTAGTTAGCTTGGGAAGCTAGGCCAGGCCCTCACCCCCCACTGCCATCCAGCCTGGGGCCACTGCAGGAAGGCTGGTGCCCAGGGGAACACTCTCCAGAGTTCTCTGAATGCCACAGACAGCCCCCTTCCAGTTGGCTGCACCGAGGCTGCCTCCAGTCCTGTTCATCCAGTTTTTGGGGTACCCTTGGCCGCAGGCCAGTGACTTCATCTCCTCGTGGCTCAGTTTCCTGACATGTAAAATGGGCACAATGGCAGTCATCACCTCAGATAGAACCCAGTGCAGCAAGCCTCCTGTAACAAGCTAGAAGGTGCTCTGACTACCTGGGGTGGGTAGGGGTGAGGGGAGGGGCAGGGGTGGATTCCTCGAGGTGTTGAGTGGATGAATTGCTAAAGATGAGTGGGTGTTAACGAGGTGTAGAGACTAGTAAAGCATGGGTGCAAAGGGGAGCCCTTGGGGCTGTGGCAATGTCCGGACCAAGCCAGGGAGATTAGAAGGTGTGAGTGAGAAAAGTAGGGGGACCCCTCCCAGCTTCCACTGGGGACCCTTGAAGAAGGAGCCGCCTACAGACCTGGGGAGCAGATTCAGGCTCCCGTGTGCAATGTTTTGGAAACTGAGACACTACCAGACTCCCAGGTGGAGTCGGGGTGGGGATAAGGCTTTGGAGAAATAGGTCTGGAGCTTGGGGAGGGGTCTCCACCCTGAGTGTAGTCATGGGAGGGTGGGGGTGGGGCACATACCAGAGCCAAGAAACTAGAGAAGGAAACCAGAAGGTACCAGTTGAGGCCAGGGGAGCAAGGGATTCCTTAGTAGGAAGGGGTCTACGGTGCCTGAGTCCCTGCTCAGGCAACTGATGGGAGCAGGGCCTTACTTCAGCACCCCCACCCCCAAAACTCTTCAGAACAGACTCTTTGGGATCTTGTTTAAGCTACCTGGACCCAGCCTGACTCCTCAGGGTGTTAATAAAGGAAGCCTCTCTCCTCCTTCAGTCAAGACTCTATACCTTTGTTAATGTGATCCTGTCTCACCAGTTGCCCACACGCAACCAGCTCTGCCTGTCTTCTCCAGCTCCTCCTGGACTCCCAGAGGCATATTTTGGTCCAAAGTCCCAGGACTCTGTGCTTAAAAGAGGGCTCCAGTCCCTGGAGTCCTGGGCCTAGCCCCACCTGCCCTCTCCCCCAGCCTCCCTGTCACTCATTTGTTCCTTCAGCACACACCTGTGGAACACCTGCCCAAGGAGGGACTCGGCACTGAACATAATGGAGGACACACATGCATGGACACAGCCGACCATCCGCCCCGCCCTCCCCCAGGAGTGGGCAGGGTGGGCCCTGAAGGATGAGAAAGAGCCAAGGGGCGATTATGTGAGGGAAGAGTGGTCCAGGCAAAGGGATCAGAAAGTGCAAAGGCCCTGGGACTGGGACTTGGTGGTGTGCTGGGTGTTGGAGGAACAGAGAGGGGGCCCAAGTATCTGGAGGGGGCTCACATGAACAAAGGGTTGGGGGGTGGGGGTATGGACATATGGTACCTGGAGGGGCCTTGCTGGGGAGTGCTTGCTTTGTTCGTTGTCTCATGTGCTGTGGTGTTTCTGCCTGGAAGTCCTGGAGCTCAACACAAGGAAATGGGGAGTGCCCCCTGCCCCTCCCTGCACATGTCCAGAGCCAGGAGGGGTCCTGGCTTGCCCTCTTGCCCTCTGAGAGGTCAGAGGGCAGGATGCAGGCCAGGGGAGGGACTTGAGTACCCAGGCAGAAGACAGCTAATAGCTAACAGGAAGGGAGCCCCCTGGGCCTCAACTCAGCTATAAAAGCGGAAGCAGGTATGTTCTGTGGGAGGCCTGGTGGTCACGCCTCAACCACACAGAGCGGAAGAGACTCACCCCCACTCCCACCTCCCCCTGGACATGGGGACCGTGGTGTGTCCTCTCTGGCCCCTTCCACATGGAGAATTGGGTGGGCCTCGGGTGGCTCCCCCTGGCCCCCCACTTGCTATGACAATGGTGCTGACCTGCACAGCGGGACCACGGTGGGGGCAGGGTATGGGTGTTAGGCTGTTGGAAGGAGAGAGCTCAGAACTCAGATAAGGTAGTAGTAGGGGGGCAGGGCCAGAACAGCGGGCAGTGGCCTCTGGGACTCTGTTTCCATCAGACGGTGCTGGCTTATTATCCGTTGTGATGGAACCGGCTCTGACTCACTGCTACACCACAGGCAACAGAATGAAGCACTGCGCGGCCCGTGCCGTGCCGTGTCATCTCATCCTCACAGCCACTGCAGCCAACCCAGGGGCTCAGCTGCCCCCACTATCTGTTGTGATGCTAATTTGGGGAGATAGATCACCCGGCCTTTCTCTTAGTCCAGGAGCATGACCCGGCTGGCATTTGAAATAGGGCCATGGCTTCCAGCATCAGAGCAACACACCAGCTGCCGGCAGCCCCACCAGCTGCCAAGACTGTGGCCAGAGGCCCCAGAGAGAGCAGGTCAGGCTGTTCCCCCACCCCCTGCCATTCACGCCCACTCTGTTCCAGCCACACAGGCCTTCTGTGCCTGGATCCGCTCAGCACGGTCCAGCCTCAGGCCTCGTGCACCTGCTATTTCCTCTGCCAGGAGCCCCAGGGGTCTACTGGGTATGAGTTGGACCGCGATCCACAAGGTCGGCAGTTCGAAACCACCAGCCACTCCTTGAATGAAAGACGGGGCTTTCTGCTCCCATAAGGAATTATGGTCTTGGAAACCCACAGGGGCAGTCCTACTTACAGTCGGCATCGACTCATGGCAGGGAGAGAGTGTCCCTTCTGTCTGAAACGCCCTTTCCCCAGAGGACCTGCACAGCACACTGGCCCTGCCACCATGCCTCGCTGTGTTACAAGTACAGCCTACGGTGCCGTATTTTCCTCTCCACACCCGGGGTACCACCTCTGTTTCCATAAACCAATCAGAGAACAAGGTGCACGCCCCACATAGCAACATAGTCAGGATGCAAAAACCAGGTCATCAGGCAACAATGGTGGGTGTGATCGCTACCAAACCATGAGAGCTGCAGCCCTGCTGGGCAGATGCATGCTGCCAACCACCACAGCCCACGTTGCCTTTGCCTCGGCCCCCTTGACGCCCGATGCGCAGGGTGAACAGGCAGGAGAGTGAGGTGGGAGTTCTCACTGTGTCGCAAATGAGAAACGTTGCCTCCAGGCTCCACAGAAAGTCCAGAGTGGGTGTGCAGTATGTGCTGCTCCCTCCTCCCGGTCCAGAGCGCCAGGCCCCTGAAGGAGGGGCCGACTCTTGTCAGTCCAGCACCCGTGACCCAGTAGGTGCTCAGTAAAGGTGTTTGAAGCCTTTCTCGGGGAAAGGGGAGACTCTGGAGAGTGCTCAGCTTGGGTTCTCTCTTACATCCTACTCTGGCTGGGCATCTCTGTGCCTGAGT